TGAGGCAGCGTGTGCCCAGGTGGCCAAGAAGGCCAATGGCACCTGGTCTGTGTCAGCAACAGTGTGGCAGCAGGACCAGGGCAGGGACAGTCCCCCTGTGCTGGGCACTGGTGAGGCCTCAGCTCAAATCCTGAGTTCAGTTTTGGGCCCCTCATGACAAGAAAAACATTGAGATGCTGGAGAGAGTCCATAGAAGGTCAATGGAGCTGGGGAAGAGTCTGGAGCACAAATGTGATGAGGAGCAGCTGAGAGAGCTGGAGTGGCTCAGCCTGGAGGAAAGGAGGTGAAGGGGGGACATTACTGCTCTCTGCATCTGCCTGAAAGGACATTGTAGCCAAATCTGTTCTTTCAGGCCACAAAAACAGAACAAGAGGAAAGAAACCCTGGATGAACCATGGGGATTTACCTTGGATATTGGGAAGAAATTGCTTCACTGAAGGGCTGTTCAGGCATTTTTGCAGCCTTCCAGTGCATGCACATGATAGCCTGGGGTCTTGGCTCCATGCCTGGGGCTCCTGCCATTTCCTGCCACCTAGAGGACAACCTGCAGCTCTCACTGTAGCTGCACACTGAGCTGTCTCCACTGAACATATTCCTCAACTATTTCATGTACAGATAACCTGCTGTGGAGAGTTGACCTTGGGCAGCTGTCAGACACCCACCCAGTTGTTCCCACTTTGCATAAAGGTGTGTGAAAAATAAGACTGAAATAGTCATGGGTCAATGTAAATACAGGGATATCGCTCACCAGTTACTGTCACCAACAAAACAGACTCAATTGGGGAAAAAACAATCACATTTATTGCCATTTGAAAATAGAGAAAATTGATGAGGAACGAAGACTAAACTAGAACCCGTTGCCTCAACCCCCCATTCATTCCAGGCTCGAGTTCACTCCTTCATTCCCAGAGACTCTACCTCATCTCCTACAGCAATGCAAGGGGACAGAAAATGGGGTCTGCACTCAGATCATAATGAACTGTCTCTACTCCTTCCTCCTCACGCTCTTCTCCTGCTCCAGTGTGGGTCCGTGCCATTGGCTGCAGTTCTTCAGGATAAGCTGGATCCAGAGTGGCCTCTGCATGGGCTGCAATTGTTCAGGATACACCCACCACACCTTCTCTGCCATGGGGTTATCCATGGGCTGAAGGCTCTCAGCTGCTTCCTGGACTTCTGTGGAGTGCAGGGCCACAGCTGCCTCACCATGGTCCTCTCCATAGGCTGCAGGGGAATGTCCGCTTTGGCACCTGGAGCAACCCCCCCTCTTCCTTCCCTGTCCCTGTTTGCTTCAGGAGTGTTTCCCACATTGTTCTTCACTCCACACTGCCTGGGCATATTTCTCCCCTTTCTGAAATATATTTTCACAGAGGAGCCACGACCATCGCTGATGGGCTGAGCTGTGTCCTATGCTTTGTCCACTGGAGTGCCCGTATCTGCCTTTCCCTGGCACAGCCTGGACAGCCCTGCCCTTGCCTGACTGAGACCCCCATGCACCCCCAGCTGCCAGCACCTGGCCCGAGCCCCCCGTACATCTGCCCGTGGGTCAGTGCCAGTTGAAAGCAGGACTTTATTCCACGCTGCACGATGCACACAAACAAGGAAAAGCAGAGCAGGAGAGCAGTCACACAGAGCAGGGCAATTGTGTTCTGGCAGGAAATGGGGGCAGAGAGGTCACACAGGGCTGGTGTGGGCAGTGGGCTCTGCACCCACCTGTGCCCCCCATGGCCATTCCTGCATCACTGTTTGTGTGTCAGTGACCACCTGTGGAGAGTGACAGGGATCAACATGTTCACACATCAGTTATCAACCACTGCCAGACAGTGATACAGATCCTAATATTACACAGTTATCACCAGTGACATAGACGTCTCATCATATGACTCTGGAACAGAAATGTAAACCAAAATTGAAATAAACCTGTTGTTTAGCTCAGTTGTTACAACCAGCAAATGTCAAAGCCTTTATGGCAGGAGTGCAGAATTGTTTTTGCTCTTTTGCAGCCAGTCCATGGGTACAAGGTCTAAATGACTTTGTTATTGGCAAAAATTCAGCTCTAAGAACTATCAAAATTAAATGAGAATAATAATTTATTTAACTCATAATAATGTT